AGAGATGCAACCAGTCTATCCAAAAGGATCAGTCCTGACTATTCATTGGAAGGACTGATGCTGAAGCTGAAACTCCAATACTTTGGCCACTGATGAAAAGAACTGACTCATTTGAAAAGACCCTGGTGCTGGGAAGGATTGAGGGCAGGAGGGGAAGAGGAAAGAGGATGAAATGGTTGGATGGCATCACCAACTCAATGGACATGAGTTTGAGTAAACCCCAGGAGTCGGTGATGGACAGGGAAGCCAAGCCTGGCATGCTGCAATCCACAGGGTCGCAAAGAGTCAGACACAACTGAGCAACTGGACTGAACTACACTGATGGGGGTAGAAGTTCAAAGTCACTATTTCCCATATGGATAACCAACTGTCTCAGAATCATCTACTGAAAAATTCATTCTTTTCCCCACTTATTTGCAATATCACCTTTCTCTTATTAAATGGTCTAATATGTAAGGGTCAGCATCTGGGCTCTCTTTTCTGTTCCATTGGCCTATCCTTATGCCAATATCACATCTTAATTACTGTAGCTTTCTATTTTATACTTTAAGAATGCTTTGACTATTCTTGAGCCTTTACACTTCCATATAAATTCTGGAATCAGCTTATCAAATTCCATACAAAATTCTGTTGGGATTTCTATTTGACTGATTTGAATATATAGGAAGATTGAGGGAAAACAAATGCCTTTATAATACTGGATCTTTTAATTCATGACCATAATAAAAAATCTCATTTTTAAAATCTATTGTTCTTTAATGCCTCATTGAAAATAATGCTTCCAAATTTTTCTCTTAAGTCTCCCATATCTCATTAGATCTATACTCAAATGCTTCATATACTTCTTTGCTATTACAATTGATTACATTTCGTTATCTCCAGCTTCTAATTCTCCATTGTTGATATACAGATGCCACCCCTTGGTGGCTCAGATTCTTGGTAAAGAATCTGCCTGCAATGCAGGAGACCCAGGTTCAATCCCTGGGTCGGAAAGATCCCCTGGACAAGGAAATGGCTACCCACTCCAGTACTCTTGCCTGGGAATCCCAGGGACAGAGGAGCCTGGCAGGCTACAGTCCATATGCAAATTCAAATTTGATTTTGTATCAAGCCACCGCTAAACTCTGTTATTTGTAACTCATCTGTAAATTCTCTTGGATATCTCTGAACATAGTCATAGCTACAAACAAAAGACAGTTGTCTCTCCCTTTCATCTTATATCTTTGTTTCTACCTGTCTGCCTTACTGCCTTGCTGCTTAAGACTTCAAGCACAATATTTAATGGAAACAATGACAACAGGCATCCCTGTCATGTTTCCCTATCTCAAAAGGAAAGTTCTCAACTTTTCAATATTAAGTATGATGTCTCCTGTATAGTTTTTGTAGGCATTCCATCTGGTTAAAAAAGGTCCTTTCTTGGTCAGGTAGACAAGACGTTACATCATGAACGAATGATCTATTAAGATGATAACATAATTTTTTCTCTTTAGTCACTTAACATGGTTGACTATATAAACTGATTTTAACATTAAATCAATCTTACATTCCTGGGATAACTTAGTTATGGTATATCCTAAATTAGTTCTGGTATTTTAAGATTTACATCTGTAACCTATGTGCAGGGCAGGAATCAGGAACAGAAACTCAGACATACAGAACAGTCTTATGGACACAGTGGAGGAAGGAGAGGGTGGGACGAGTTGAGGGTAACACTGAGATATATACATTCAATTCAGTTCAGTCACTCAGTCATGTCCGACTCTTTGCGACCCCATGGACTGCAGCACGCCAGGCTTCCCTGTCCATCACCAACTCCCGGAGTTTACTTAAACTCATGTCTATTGAGTCGGTGATGCCATCCAACCATCTCATCCTCTGTTGTCCCCTTCTCCTCCTGCCTTCAACCTTTCCTAGCATCAGGGTCTTTTCAAATGAGTCAACTCTTCACATCAGGTGGCCAAAGTATTGGAGTTTCAGCTTCAGCATCAGTCCTTCCAATGAATATTCTGGACTGATTTCCTTTAGGATATACACTACCATGTGCAAAATAGCTAGCTAATGGGAAGTTGCTGTGTATCACAGGGAGTTCAGTCTAGTGTTTTGTGACAAACCAGAGGGTGTCAGATGGGGTGAGAGGTAGGAGGGAAGTTCATGAGGGAGGGGACAAACGTGTACCTATGGCTGATTCATGTTGATGTATGGTATAAACCAACCAACACTGTAAAGCAATTATCCTCCAATTAAAAAAAGTTTAAAAAAAGAAAAACAATTTAAAAAATCTGCATTTGTGTTATATGTCATATAATTAACTGTCCTTGTCAGGATTTATCTTCAAGGTGGTACTTTCTGTTGTTTTTTATAGTCACTAAGTCATGTCCGACTCTTTTGTAATCCCCATGGGCTACAACCTGCTAGGCTCTTTCTGTCCATGGGATTTCCCAGGCAGGAATGCTGGAGTGAACTGCCATTTCTTTCTCCAGGGGATCTATGGTACTAGTCTCTTTCATTAAACGAGCTAGGATTTTTTCTTCATTCTCAATTCCCTGGAAGATCAGGAATAGCTGCTGTTCAATGCTGAAGTTATTTCTTTTATGATTTTTGATAGAATGCAGTAGTGGTTATTTAGGCTGTATGGAAAGGTTTTTCACTACATATTTAACTTATATAATTTATACATGTTATAAGATTACTGAGGTTTTCCATTTCTATTCAAGTCTATTTTAGGGAGTTATATATTTTAAGAATTTGTCTACTTAAACTTTACATTCAAAGCATAGTTATCCATACTATTATGTTTTACTGCCTGCCACATCTACAATGATATCCTCTCTTTTCATTATTGATATTGATTTTCTATGTTCTTTTCTTTCTTAATATCACCACAAGTATGTCAAAGAACAAGCTTTTGGATTTGTTGTATATTTGTTTTCTGTTTCATTCTTTTTTTGTTCTTATCATTATCTTCATTACTTCTTTTTTTTTTAACATTCTTTGGGTTATTTTGCTATTCTTTTGCTAACCTCCCAAGAGAAACATTTACTTCATTTATTTCCTGCCTTTCTTTTTTCTAAGGTAAGCATTTAAAGGCATGTATTTGCTATAAGATATCATATTGCTTTAGATTACCTTACAAATTTTGATGTGTAACATTTCTATCTTTCAGTCCAAAATATTTTGCAATTACTATTATGATTGCTGCTTCTACTGGCAGGATAAATAAAAATGTATATCTTAATTTTGAAAGGTTTAAAAAAACTTTTTAAAAAGCTAATTGTTTTGTGGCTTGCTAACTTGATTTTCCAGGTGGTGCTAGTGGTCAAGAATCTGACTGCCAATGCAGGAGACACAAGAGAGGTGGGTTTGATCCCTGGGTCCAGAAGGTCCCCTAGAGGAGGAAATGGCACCCTACTCCAGTATTCCTGACTGCAAAATTCCACGAGAAGAGCCTGGAGGGCTACAGTCTGTGGGGCCACAAAGTGCTGGACATGAGAAAAAAAAGCGCACACACAAACAAAACTTGACTTCAGTTCTCTGAAATCTGTTCGTACTTTATGACACCAAACATGGTAGAAAAATTTTTTTTGTTTAAATAAATGTTTCATATACATTTGAAAGTTGCTATTTTCAAAGTGATTGGATACACAGCTCTATAAAAGCATTAGGTGAAATTTGTTAAATGTGTTGTTCCAATCTTCCAAACATCCTTGTAGATATTTCTTTCCTCTACTTTTATCAATTACTGAGAGATATATATTAAAATCTCCCATTACTGTGATAGATTTAACATTTCTACTTGTAGTTCTGTCAGTTTTTGCTTTATACTTTTTTAAATGGTAGAACAGGTTTTTAAAAATGAATCCCTTTTCTTTCTGCTCACTTTAAATACCAAGACCAAAATCAGTTTATATATGATAATTGTCACTAAATCTGCTTCTTACCTTCAAATTTACCTATTTCATAGCAGAGACTGAACTTACTAAAACATCTTAAAAGGCAAATACCTTGGTCTTTTATTTCCAAGAGAAAAACAATCAGAAATTTATTACCAGGGGCATCATGCATACACATCCGAGTACTCAGTGCTGGCTAACTCAAAAGGGGTGGTTAGAACTTGAGCTTATATGCATCTTAACAAAATAACAATAACTTTTTAGAGAAGTGAGAAGACAAAGGAAAAGGACTTAGAGTTTCTAGAGCAGCAAATGGGGGAACTAATGGAAGATAAGGGTTAGTAAAGGTTTGCTTCCCTGTTGGTGCTAGTGGTAAAGAACCTGCCTGCCAATGCAGGAGACATGAGATGCAGGTTCAGTCCCTGGGTCAGGAAGATCCTCTGGAGGAAAAAATGGCAACATACTCCAGTATCTTTGCCTGGAGAATCCCAAGGACAGAGGAGTCTAGCAGGCTACAGTCCACAGGGTTGCACAAAGTAGGACATGACTGAAGCAACTGAGCACACAGCACGATAGAGGTTTGCTACGTAGATCTCTCTGGTGCCCATCTCTGGGCTAATTATGGTCTAGAATTGTCTCTGGTGATTAATTTCTGTCCTCCTGGTAGAGAAGGGAAGGGGGATGCCTTGGTGAGTCATTTTGAAAGCTAATTTATATTCTAAGCTACAGTTTTCTATTACTATCAGCTTAAAAAGGAAGATACTAAAGTTCTCAATTGTTATTGTTTAAACACCTCATCCATTAAAAAAGGAAAAAAAGGCTTATCAATAGGTACCAAGCTCTCAAAGGACTCACCAATTCTTACTATTATTACCTAATGTATTCCAGGCATTGTTTTCAAACACTAATGTAATCTCCACAACAGACATACAAAGTGGTTGTTATTATTATCTCTATAGTTTTTACAGAAGCAATAAATAACAGAAACCTGAGGACTAAGGCTAATCAACACCAAATGGCAAACAAATATTGTTGTCAAAGGATTGTTTTCACCAAAATGAGTATCTCAGTGCGAAAGCCCCACTGGCAAGAATGGTTTCATTTAAGTACCTTGTACTTCTGCCTCAGTTCTTCCGTGTCTTCTTTTTCTACTTCTAGGACACGGCGCCGTTCGGTAGCATCTTCAGCATAATCAAGCTTAACAAAAGTAGGTACAATTAGTCTTAATTGCCACAGTACTCCCATCTAGCCATAAAAAAGTCATTTATACAACTACAGTACTATATGCAAATAAACTGCAATTTGCTCAACTACCTCTTGCTTTATTGTCACACCACAGAGAAAAAACATGCAAAATAGTTCATTAATCCTTTCATGCTGGTGGTTCTCAACAGGCATAGTTGATAATAACAGACTTTACTTCAACGTTCAATGCCAAAGACTTAGCAGTAAATGGAGCATATTTCAAGCAATGAAAAGAAGGTATCACAGATGAGAGCAGTACACAGCTCTATTGTTGTTCAATCACTAAGTACTGTCCAACTCTTTGCAACCCCAAGAACTGCAGCAAGCCATGCTTTCTTGTCCTTCCCTATCTCCCAGAGTTTGCTCAAACTCATGTCCACTGAGTTGATGATGTCATCCAACCATCCCACCTTCTGTCGCCCCCTTCTCCCTTTGCCCTCAATCTTTCTCAGCATCAGGGTCTTTTCCAATAAGTCGGCTCTTCACATCAGATGGCCAAAGTACTGGAGCTTCAGCATCAGTCCTTCCAATGAATATTCAGGGCTGATATCCTTTAGGATTGGTTGGTTTGATCTCCGCGCTGTTCAAGGGACTCTCAAGAGTCCAGCACCACAGTTGGAAAGCATCAATTCTTCAGCGTGCAGCCTTCTTCATGGTCCAACTCACATCTTTACATGACTACAGGAAAAACTATAGCTTTGACTACATGCACCTTTGTTGGCAAAGTGATGTCTCTTCTTTTTAATATGCTGTTTAGGTTTGTCATAGCTTTCCTTTCAAGGAGCAAGCTTCTCTTAACTTCATGGCTGCCGTCACTGCCCACTGAAAATAAAATCTGCCACTGTTTCCATTTTTTCCCCGTCTATTTGCCATGAAGTGATGGGACCAGATGCCATGATCTTAAGTTCTTTGAATGTGAGTTTTAAGCCAGCTTTTTCACTCTCCTCTTTCACCTTCATCAAAAGGCTCTTTAGTTCCTCTTCCATTCTGCCACTAGAGTGGTATCATCTGCATACCTGAGGTTGTTGACACAGCTCTGTAGGGACAAAGCTTCTGCCACAACAAATATTTTAAGATTTGAGCTACAGAGCCTACTGAAATGAGCATAAGGGCCTGGGTTTAAGTCTGATCTTGTCCTGTGGCATAATGCTGGGGCAATCACTCACTTCTTTATAAAAGGGGCATTATTTGCCACCTACCTACCTCAAAGACAGCACTACATGAGAATATAAAATAAATTTTAATTTTCCCTCAAAAATATTAATATTACACCTGAATTTTGGAATTAGTATCCATTTTAAATATCCCATAAAACAAGTCAACCAATGAGATCAATTTACCTCCATTTCCATGCGACCCATGCCCATGACATCATACTTGACAACGATTGGAATGGGATCTGTTCTCCCTGTAACAGGAACATATAATCAAGGTGAGATGTAAGGCTAAGCCAACATTTCACTTTACACATTGGGTTTGGGTGGTTAGAGATCTTGCCTTGGAGTGCAGAGACCAGAAAGCTACAGTGAACCAAACACAAGCCATTCTCACAGCTTACAACCAAACCTACCTCTCCAGTTTAAGCCCAACTAACCACCTTGGCTGACCTTCCAGTGGGGGATGATTCCAGATTATTAAAGCAAAATTAAATAAGTAATGCAAAGCATTTCTACGCAACGGCACCAGGAAGTTTAAAATAAAAAACACCTGAAATTCCTTTTTAAAAAGACTCCCAAATAACTTTCCATCAAGAATCCCTTCACGCTTACTGTTCACTGACATTTTCCCACACACACTTTTAAAACTGGTAATAAATATGTCAACTGACATGTTTAAATCGGAAGAGGATAGCTTCAAATATGACACAGGAAAATTCAATAACTGCAACTCAGCGTGTTTAATATTTCTTTGTATTCAAAAGATGCTTTACAATTAAATGAAGGGGTGAAAATAATTAAAAGGAATGCAACAGTTAGTTGCCCTGAGGAAAAAATAGTTTTACTTTTAAACTGGTGCTCTAAGGTCCCATTTTTCCAGAGTGGATTTAACACTGACTGCGGCAATCAGTAAGCTGTGAAAAGGACTAGTTGCGAAGAAAATTGACTTTCAACTAATTGATCTATGCTGGAGATTTTTTAAAATGTATATTTAATCCACTCATAACCAGCCAAACAAAGCAAAATGGGGCAGACAAGCACTTTACTACCACAGCTGTTTTACATCACAACTTGCGCTGTTTATTGTGATGTAAGCCCACTGAAAAGAGGACTTACCTTATCCGTTGTATACCTTTAGTGAAAAAACACAATGTTTACTTCCCTCATCATTTCACTCAGGCTGGTGTAAACAATTGTTTTTTTATTTTTGTTTTTTTTGGGTTATACACACATATATATTATACCTTTGGGCTAAAAGTTGAGTTTTGTCAGGCTAAATCTGAGATATTAGCAAAACTGAATTTGGGGGGTAAAAAAAAAAGCAGTAAATGCCACACCCATGACTAGGATTAGTCCCAGAGGGAAAAAAAACTGTTTCCAAAGTGACCAGCAACCACTTGAATCCAGTTGCTCTGTATTTGTGGGATTGATTTTTGTTTCAAAAAGAAATGAAAAACAAATTCAGAAGTTTAATTACTTATCACCAATCTCCCATTATTGCTTTTAAACAATAAGCAGCTAATCGAGAATTATCACATAAAAAAATTTAACTAAATAAAGAACATCTCACACCAGAAAAGAGAACAAAGTTGTAAACAGTCTTATTTCAGATACTATCGAAAACTGCCAGTTAAACAAAATAAAAATGCACTACTACCTTATGCCCAATGGTATAATAAATAAGCAGTGACTGCAATCTTTAGCAAAAGGACCAAATTAAGACAGGTTATAAAAATGACTTCCTAGGTGCAATATCACTTTCATAACGTCTCAATCAGGGATTTACTGGTAAAAACAAACAGTCCAATGAAAGAATTGAAAAGAAATGTCAAAGTTATTTTTTTGTTTTGATATCTTTTTTTGATCTGTCAGAATTTGCTTTAAGAATCAAGAAAATTTTGGTAGAAATTCATTACCTCTGTAAACCCCTGTTATAAACTCTGCATTAGTACTTTTGCCTTCTAAGGCAGTCAAAGTTTGTTTTAATTTATTTATAAATTGCAGTAGCAAGTGCTAGTGCCCATTATATTGTGGGGAAATCAAGTTTTCACAGTATCAATTTAATGTTTTAACTGATTTTTTTTTTTTTTTTGGCAATTCTAACACAAACAGATACATCCCTTCTTAACATTACCCTTTAATGAACAAGGATCAGACAAGTTGCATAAGGAAAGGAAAGGAAAATGAAAAAGACCAAGCAGAAGGATGAAGGCTACAACAGAGAAAGTAAGCCTAACATATTGGTGCACTGATGACAAAGGAGTAATTCAGTCTGAAAATAAAAAATTACCACTGCTAAGTTTACCATCACCACAACAAGTCCAGGATCATAATGCTGTAAAAAAGAAACACCATTTGTTAGGCAGAAACCATTAGGGTAGGAAACAGGCCTTCTAGCAGGCAGACAGGATGGGGTAAAGTAACAAATTGGGCTTTGTCCCTCCCCCAATTTCAGCTGGGGACGCAAGAAGGACACTTTGTGCTACCGCAGTTTTCAAACCGGTTGAACCAGGGTATGAGATTTTTGTACTGCTACTTGAGAACATGAACAACCTCTTCTACAACAATGCAGGGGTTGGGGGGAAGGTGGGAGAAAGTGAGAGAACTATCTCTCGCTTTCAATCTCTCATTTAACTACTCATTCCGTTAAATCAATACTCAAGGCCCAAGGTGGGACTTGTTCCTTAAGGAAATAACATCAAAGACAGATCATCAAGTGATTATCAAGTCATTGGCTGCACTAAAAGAACTCTAAGAGGACTGTCTCGTGGAGGGGATCATCAAGACCTCACTATAATAAATAAAAGGTCTGGAAAATAACCTTAGATTTTCAGTGCTTGGAAAACATGCACATTTGAGTTCTGTTATGAATGAATAAAACTTTTGAGGTAGACTTCCTTAGAACTAAGTTTCCTTTTAATGAACTCTTCCCAAGCCCACCAACATCGTTCTGCACACAATAAAGCCAAACTTTGAAAAAAACCAGGAACTCCAGAGAAATTGACATCGAAAGGCCTGTCACATTTACAATTAGTCCACTCAGAGAAAAGTCTGGCTTTAAAAACAATCTGAAGGTAACATTGCTGCCTCCGCCAAGTAGTAATTTTTTTTCATTAGAGATTCCAGACCAAGGAAAAATCCCACTGGGAAAAGATACTGAAGAATACATATATGAAGAGGCTGCAGTATTAAAAAACAAAAAACCCCTCATTTATTCATTTGTGACCAATGATAAATCCTATCATAAAGAACACTACTGTGGAATACCTGAGTAACAACCTATACTGGTGACTTTCAATGGTAAATAGCAGAAGAATGTTTGCTAATTTAATAATCCCCTAGAAAACTCAACTTCTTTTTAATACAAATTGAACTAAATCCAGTTTCTCTTATTTCTTGGTTTCTCTTAACAGGGACAAGTATTTCTTAAAATACATTAAAATAAGAACATTTTGTTGTTTATTTCATTTCAAAGGAAGCAACTTCAACCAGAACACTAAATACTTTCCTTAGAAGAAACTGTCCTCCTCTTCAGCCAAAGATCTATATATAGATACTCTGACTGATCTAGCTGACGGGACATGGGTGGGAAAAAAAACATATTACTCATATAAAATTCTACTATCAATGTATTCATGTGAGGGGGGAAAACTGATACTCATATTTTCTAAATAAAAACTTTAAATATATATATATACAAGTATTGAATCATTATGCTGTATACCTGAAACCAAAATAATATTCTATATCAACTGTACCTCAATAAAAATTTTTTTTAAGAGATGGAAAAAACTTTTAATGAGGTTTCATTGATCAACTGGTGCTGTACACTCGATATTTTAGAAGGTAGGCTTACTTCTACAATGACACATGTGCTAAAATACTCATGTACACATCTCTTGCTAAAACGTAAAAGTATTATAACTTATCTTAACTGAAGAGAGAATAAGGCCAAATATGAAAATTCACTGATTGCTTACAGCCACAGTTTCTGAGAATGAGCCCTTCCATTAATCAGTTTCGATTTTGAAACACTTTAGGATACTCCAATCTACAAAACTGGCCCAAAGAACTGGGCTATAAAGAAAATTTTCTTTCTTTTTTTTTTTTTTTTAAACAAACTCCAGGAAAAGGACAACTGGGTAAAAATATTGAAGAACCATAATCTGGTAAACAGCACATTTCACAAACAGAAGACACATGACTTCTCTACAGAAACAAATTAGAAATGAAGCTTCCAAAGTGATTAAAACCGTTTCTGGACAGTCAGCAGATAAGATAACGCTACAATTTACCTCTGCTGCCTGTTCCTTTGCTGAGATTCATCCAACAACAAATAATTATTGAGTTGTTTCTACATACCAGGCATTACTGGAAGGCTTTGGGCATATTTTTATGACAGTAGTTAAAACAAAGTCCTATACCCCATGAATTATCTATAATTAGGCAAGATAATCTTACCAATATAAACTTATGGCATGAGGGAGTAGAAAATAACATTGTGGACCCAATGCACGTATGGTTCAAAAAGCTTTAAAATGTCTAATGTCTTTCAAAGAAGTCTAAAATTGTTTTTAAAGACTGACCCTAATAAGGCAGAAGTAAATATAAAAGCCATCAGAAAGTCACAAGTTCTATTTCTAAAAGGCCACTAAATTGATAAAAGCCAAGAATCTGACCCAACATCTTAAATTTATTTCTTACTTTAAGCAACTCAAATATATATGTGAAAATCAGGAATAATACAAAATTAGGATGGTGACTATTCTCTGATTTGTAAAACTACTCAAAAAAGACTCTATAGTAAGCTATGTTAGTGTGTTTAAATATAATTTCATTCATTTAAAAAAACAGTGATTACTACAACTTTCAGAAATACTTCCTGGGTAAAAAGTGGTATATTATTTCCGAACCAAAGGTTTACTTCTGCAAACTTCTCCTTAAAATAAGTCTTCAGCAGCATAAAAATAATGATCACTTTCAGCATCACTTAGATACCTACTTCTTAGTAAACACCAAGTATATTAATTATACCCTATGACTATACCCTTTAAGTTTTTTTTTTTAAAGAATTCCTACTCAAAATAGAATCCAAATTCTCTAGTGCTACAAAAACTAACCATATTCTTGCCACAGACTGTTTAATGATGTATACAACAACCAAGTTTTTTTATTTTCAGGCACAGGTGTTTTTTTTTTTAAGGGCACAAGTTTAAAAAACTATGACCTAAAAATCCTTCCATCTTCCCAA